TGTTAATGGCTCATAACAATAACATTCTACGACAGGTTTGGAAGCAGGAGCGGCATCCACTCCCTAAACAACATGCCTCCGGAAACTGGATGAACTTTGATAAATGTCGATAGTTGCAGAGGGGCTTCAGGCCTTTGGTTCAGAGTCACTATGAGTCATGCTTGACTGGAAGACAACAACAACCTCAAGAAAACGAGTTAACAGTGAGGCTTTGTTTGTCTTTTTTTTTTAACTAAATTACAAACAAATAATGAAATTAAGGAAATGAGTTGCTGGTTCCACGATCTCAGGACCACAGTTTTGGGGACCATCAAGGGCAACCAGTGTAGAATAATAGTCCACAAAGACAATGTTCTAACGTCCTACTTTGATGAGTAGCAACTGGGGCCTTAAAAGCTTGCAATAAGCCATCTAAGGTAACAACTCTCCTTGACCAGGACAAACAAGAAAGATGCAAAGCAAAGACGCAAAGGAACAACTTGTCTGAAAGACCATGTGAACCTCAGTCTCCATAAACCTGGGACCAGAAGAACTAGATGGTACCTTATGACCATGGCTGACCACACTAAAGGGATCGTAGATGAAGGTCCCAGATAGAATGAGGAGGGAATTTGAAACAAAGCTCAAAAACATAAACATTTTAATGTCAGGCTTATCAATCTCATAGAGACTGGTGGAACCCCCAAGGTCATGGCCCTTAGTCATCTTCCAAGCCTGGAACAAAGCTCACTCCTGTGGCTGAATATTCAGCCAAGCAACAAAAAGTCTTTAAGGTGAACAATAATGCCAGGGTGACACTCATTTCCTAGAAAAATCAGCCATCCGAAGGGCAGTGTCTACCCACAGACAGTTTAGATGGCAGGAATGAGTATGAGAGAAGGATTAATCACAGGGAAGAACTTAAATACAATGTGGGTATTGTAATTATTATCATAAAACAAAATATGTATGAATGGTTGAATGGGTAACTCATTTGCTTTGTAAACTTTCGCTCAAATCACAATAAAATAGAGCTGCCTAATCAACAAATAGCAAAATAAGTATGTTATTTTAAAACACAAGAGATAATAGATGAGCTGAATTGATTGCCTTTGGGAAGTGGAAATGAAAAGTGGGGAAGGGTGAGGTAGCAACTGCTGTTCATATCACTCATTATAAGACACAGTATTTTTTTTTTACTTAAAACTCTACACATGTATTATCAAGCCACTGTGATGGGCCACTAGGTTAGGAGGTGCTCTGTCAAACCAAAGACAGGCAGTTCGAATCCACCACCTGCTTTGAAAGATGATAGGAAATCTTCTCCTTTGCTATTTACAAGCTCATAAAACCTTCTGGAGGGTCAGCTTTGAGTCAGCTCCAACGTAACAGCAATAAGTCAAGTATTACATCATCAAAAAGTTAAAATAACTTTTAAAATATCATAAATGAAGAGGTGGAATAGGAAAGACTGGGTGTAAGGTATTTGGAAACCAAATACAGAAAGAAGTGTTCTGTAGATATAAAACTATTCTAAAAACTTTTTTTAAAAAAAGAAAAAGAAGAGGTGGAGGTTGTCAGCTGCACTGGAGATAAAATCACCCATGCAAGGAGTGTGGTTAAGACTCTGGAAGGTGGAGGGAGGGAGATGAATGCATAAGGGATGCAGAAGATAGGTAGGGGAGCATGGTGGGAAAGACCAGGAGGCGAGGAACCAGGACAACAAGGGGAGCCAGCTTCCCAAAGAGGAAGCTCCCAACAAACACATTTGCTCAATGCTGTCAGGTGCTGGAGATGGAGCCATGCAAACAGGGACTGCGAAAGGGGAGTGAGATTGTCAATTCTGCCCTGGAGGAAGGGCAACCAGGGATCTCCTTAGAGGCAAGGAGGGTGAAACCTGGTCTCAAATACTTTGGATATGTTATCAGCAAGAGTCAGTCCTTGGAAAAGGCATCATGCTTGGAAAGACTAGGGGTTCAGAGAAAAAGAGGGAGACCCTCAATGGGAGGGACTGACACAGTGATTACAAAAATGGGCTCCATTATAATCATTAGTAATTTCTTCTTCTGTAAAAATTGGCCCAATTTTATTTTTTAAATATACTACGTGATATAGATTATATGAAGACTGCATGGGGTGAGAATAGTCTAAACTTTTATCAATTTTAAGTCCATTCTAACAAGTGTGAAAATACTTGCTCTCATATGTTGCTTTGGTGCAAAATAATAAAAGTCGAATCAGAAAGATTTAAAATGAAAAAAAAATGGGCTCCAGTGTGTCAGCCTTGAGGAGGATGGCACAGGAGAGGGCCAGGTTCAGATGCGGTGTTCACAGAACCCCCAAGAGCGGCAGCCAACTCAACGGCATCTAACAATAATGTAGGGTGTCTGGCACAGTGCCTGGCACATACCTGTTCAGTAAATGCCGGCTATTCATTGTGATTGTTGTTTTCAACAGATCTCAATATGGAAGCCATGGTCCAAGTTGCAATTACACCAGAGGCAGCCATGGAAAAAGCCAGGTGTTCATCCCCCATCTCACCTGCTGTAGGAGCTCCCCAGGGAGATGGGGGCTGTGAGCCAGTACAATCACCAGTCTGCGGGACACATGTCCTTTTTGGGCCCGCTCTCCTTTTCCAACTATCTGTGAAGTATCACGGATGCAGGAGTCATTCCTGGAGGCCTGCTAACCCCAGCCCTTCTCAGTGCCTGGGCCTCCTGCAGGGAGGCCAGTCTCAGGCCCACCAGCAGAGGGCGCAGATGGTCAATGGTCCCAGATGCAGACTAAACATCAACACTCCCCTACTGGGACCGCGTTTGTGGCCCAACTTCTGCCTCAGTTTCCCTGACTCCTGAGACCAGAGCTCTCTCTGAAGTCTGGGTGGTTTGAAGAGACATGCATAGCTGTCTCCTCTTCGTAGCAGAGACACACAGGTGGGGAGATGGTCATTCTCCTCCTTGTTCCAGTGGGAGGTTTCTTCTGTTCTTCTCATTTTTAACCTGGGCACACAGTTGCCCAGGATAAAGACCACACCTCCACTCTTAATTGTAGCTCAGTGTGGCCATATGATCAAGTTTCTACAGAACCTGGTCACCTAGCCACAAGCTGGTGTCACATGGAAACATCTGGAAACCTGGAGAGTTGACAACATTTGCCCTTTCAACTTTGCTCTTCTTCTGCCCTCTACCTAGACTGCAGGTGTGATTGCTGGAGCTCCAGTCTCCATGTTGGGCCACATGAATGCTGGGGAGGACAAGGGAGCTACAAGGACCTCGATCCCCAAGACTTCATGAAGCAGGCCCTAGATTTCTATCTTAAAAAGAAGCAAATGAGCTTCTTCACTGAAGTCAGTTATTTTGGGGTCATCACAACTTACAGCAGGAGCTCTGGTGGCGAAGTGGTTAAGCGAATCGAAAGGGCAGCAGTGTTAACCCACTAGTCTCACATCAGGAGAAAGACATGGCTGGCTGCTTCTGCAAAGATTACAACATTGAAAACCCCACAGAGCAGTTCCACTCTCTCCTAAAAGGTCACTGAATCAGAAAAGACTTCCCAGCAAATAATAGAACTTGCAGCTCAATCTGATGATGAGTGCCATGCCCTCTCAGCTAGCCAGGCTGCTGGCATCACCTCACTTCTACTTCCAAGCTCAAGGCCTCACTGTGGGCTCAGATCTCACAGGTGCCAGCCTGCATGCCAAGGGGACCTCTCAGGATAGCAGTGTAAAATCATCTTAGACCTCCCACATCTGTGGGACAATAAAGATGGGATATCTAGCTTCCTCTCTCTCCTGGACAAGTCTCCTGCAGATGGGCAATGCCACCAGCATTGGTTTAGCTGTCTTTGTTCCCTATTACTGCTAACATGAGGATATCACAAGGATGGCTTTAACAAACAGAAATGTATTTTCTCACAGATTAGGAGGCTGGAAATCCGAGTTCAGGGCACTGGCTCTAGGAGAAGGCTTTGTTCCCCTGTCAGCTCTGGAGAACCGTCCTTGTCTTTCTGAGCTCCTGCTCCTGGGTGACCTTCACATGACATGACCTCTCTCTTCCCCCATCTCTGTTCTACTCGATTATTTAATAGCTTCTTTGTTCTTCTTGTTGTTATGTGCCGTCGAGTCGCCTGCGACTCACAGCGACCCTATGTACAACAGCCCAAGCCCTAATTCTATCCTGTGCCGATCTTATTGTCTGTAACACACCCACCTCCATTACACAAGTCACCCATTCAATCCATCTCATCAAGAGTCTTCTTCTCTTGTGCTGTCCCTCCACCCTCCCAAGCATGACATCCCTTTCCAAGGACTGGTCCCTCCTTGCAACATGTCCAAAGTATGTCAGACAAAGCTTCAGAATCCTTGCCTCCAAGGAGAAGCCTGGTCTCACCCTCTCTAAGACAAACCTATTTGTTCTCCTAGCAGTCCAATACTCTTCTCCAGCACCACAGCTCAAAGACACCAACTCCCCTTCTACCATCCCTGGTCACTGCCCAGTTTTCTGATGCATAGCAAGTAATTGCATAGACTATGGCCTGGATTAGGCACACCTTAATCTTCAGACTGACATTGTTGCTCTTCAGTACTTTGGAGAAATCTCTGACAGAAGACTTTCCAAATGCAATTAGTCTTTTCATTTCGTGGCTGCTAGTACCTAGAGTGTAAAATTGACTCAAGGTATACCCTACACCTACCCTGCCTCAATGACACAATAAAGACTATTCATTACAACACATATTTTCGTCCATAACACTGATCATACAACTCCAACTTCTGCACACCCCACCAAACCTCCCCCAAAGTCCCAGCACACACTGGAAAGGGGCTGAGTCACAGGACTACCCATCCTTATGGGGCAGGATGAGCTTCCCCACCTGCCTCTCCCACATCTGTGAGCACTCACATAAACCAGAGCTTCACATCAGGACCCTGGCTTCCTGGTGTGCTCATGGGGCTCACCCAGGGCTGGGCGAAACCATGTGAGCAGGGGAGGTGCCCTCAGAGAGGCCAGGGACACACTTACCTTTCTCCGATGCTGGGGCCAGGTCAATGAAGCTGCGACATTTTTCACCTTTGAAAAGAAAAGAAAAGTGTCAGGGTGTGGGAGGACATAAGAGCATATGCCTCACCCTATCACAGGAGCCTGGAACAGAGCAGGGGAGAACGGTGTGGGGCACCTGACGCTTCTAATAACCTCAATGGCATCTTTCTCTAATCTCGATTACTGGAAACTCAAAATCCCTGAGGGGTGTGGATGGTGATGCTGAGAGCTCAGCTAAGCAGCACCTCCCACCCCAGGCCCCTCGCTGGACTCTCCGCGTCTCTTTCCCGTGTCTCTCTCCAGACAGCAGGGTATTTTCAAAACATGCCAAACACCTCTCTCCCTTTCACACACACACACACACACACACACACACAGAGACAGGGAAAGAGAGACACAGAGAGAGGTGTTTCTCATTACATGCACTTCCTGTCACACACACACCCTGTCTCTCTCTCTCTCACACACACACCCTGTCTCACTCTCTAACACACAGTCTCTCACACACACAGATACACACTCTGTCTCACACCTACATATATACATACACTGTCTCTCATTCATACTCACATGCACATACTAAGCTTGTCTCAGTATCTCACACATACGCGCGCGCGTGTGCACACACACACACTTCTGTTCAAAACCCTTGGTGACTTCGCAGGGAATAAAGCCCACACAGGAGTCTAACCTCTCTCAGCACCCACCACACTCTCCCCTTCTGCCTCATCACTCCCCTGCTCCCTCCCACCATGAGGTCTTCGCACAGCACATCCTATTCTCCACTGCCTGAAACATACTCGCCCTCTCACAAATCTCCCAGCAGATGACCTTCGCCAGTGGAGCACCCAGTCACTGTTAGGATTTCTACCTTTGTGTAAGTCTTCAGTGGGTTCTCACTGTTGTTATGTGCTGTCAAGTTGCTTGAGATTCATAGCGACGCTATGTACAACGGCTCTGAACCCTGCTCTATCTTGAGCTAATTTGTTTCCAACAGTCAATCCATCTTATCTAGGGTCTTCCTTTCTTGTGCTTTTCTATCACTTTTCCAAATATGATGTCCTTCTCCAAGGTCTGGTCGCTCCTGGCAACAAGGCCAAATTATGTGAGACAGAGTTTCAAAACCTTTGTCTCCAAGGAGCAGCCTGGTTTCACCCTCGCCCGGACAAACCTGTTTGTTCTCTAGGTGGTCCATGATATGTTCAATACACTTCTCCAGCATCATGACTCAAAGGCATTGATTATTCTTCTATTGTCCTTGGTGACTGTCCAGCTCTCCAATGCATAGCAAGTAATTGCAAAGAGCAATGGATAGCTATCTCTCCATCACAGCTCCCAAACTCTGGGCCCCAGGAAGAAAGGAGCCACATCTTTAATGCTTGCCAGCTCAGTAAAAATGCATCCTTGACTTCTCTTCCTCTCATATATGAACTGTGGATCCTCGACATACCTAGGATTCAACTATCTATCACCAATCCCACCGCTCCTTCCCTGCTCCCAGTCACCATCGTCTCATGCCTAGGTTACAGCAGCAGGCTGTGCCCCCTTCCCTTAGCTACACAGCAGTCAGATGAAGCCTATTAGCATCAAGAAGGATCATATCCCTTCTCATATCTCACAAGAGATTAAAAAGAGAGGAAAGCAAGATGAAATGTGAACCATCAAGAAAAGAATTGCCAGGAGTGGAGCGTGTCCTTCTGGATTCGGGAGACTGTACCAGAAAGCTCCTTATCACAGGGAGACCTCCAAGGAACATTGGCCCTACAAGTGCTGAAGGAGACGTGGATCTCCTCCAGACCCCACAGGGAGAGAGCAGACCCTCCTCCAGAGTTTGCACTCTGAATTAGGACTTCTAGCTTCCTAAACTTTAAGAGAATGAATTTCTGTTTGTTAAAGCTGCCCACGTGTGGTATCTCTGTCCTGGCAGTATAAGATAACCAGGACACTTCTGTTCAAGGTTAAGACAAGGCAGCTCAGGGCAGCTGAGGGGTCGGCCTAGACCACCCAGCAGGTCAGTGTCACGGAAATTATGAACAGTTGGAAAGGTGTTTGTTGGCAGCCAAGAACTAGAAGGGAAAATGGAATATGACAATAAGTGTCATAGCTAACGGTTTAAAACTTTCTCAAATGTTCCACTGATTTCTCAGAAGGTGAAGAAGAAGAAAACTAGCACCAAATTCAGAAGAGAGCCATGCTCCACAGCAGGAGGAAGCGGTAGTCTGCTTCTGTAAAGATTTGCAGCACAGGAAACCCCATGAGACAGTTCTGCCCCGTCCTCTAGGGCTGCTAGGAATTCTAATTGACCTGAAAGTGGTGGGTTTACAGGACTTGGCACATAGTTAAGGCAACATCTACTCAACGTTTTGGTGTCCACACATGCCCTCCAATGTCATTCATAACAGCTCTCAAGGCTCCCTTCTGGAAAGACATCTGGGCTCAGAAGTCACAGACATGAGTTCAAATCCATCTTCTGTCTCTGCCTAGCCACATGACCTCAACAAGTAACCTGCCTCTTGGAGCCACTTCTCATCTGCCCACAGGACCTGCAGAGTCTGCCTCACCGGCTTAGAAAGAGGGTCACAGCATGAGGACGTGAAAATGCCCATCCACAAGCAAAAGCTATTCTACATCCCTTCCTTGAACCCAGGCTGGAGATAAACTTTACTCCTCCCCAGAAAAAGGCTGGAAGTCTTCCCAAGGCAAGAGCAGGAGGCTGAATTCTGCCACTTCAGCCTGAGCAGGTGGCACGAAGCTGGCCAGGTACTGGCAGAGCCCAGAGAGGGGCCAGAGGCAGCTGCCCAGTGCCAGGGCTGGCAGAAGGTGTGCGGGCGCTGAGGGTCCGCCATGTTGCCCTTGGCATGGAAGCTCAGAGCCACGATCTGGCTGCAGCAGAGGGACGAGAATAGGGGGCGGGCATGTGGGAGCCCAGCATCCTTGGCCAGGTCCCCAGATCCTGTGGCTGAGAATCGTGACTTAATTCCAGACCCAGCAGATGGAGTAGGTGAGACTTCTGCCGAGGAGTAGGGGGGAGAGGAAATCAGGGGAGCCCTGGTGAGGGTCCAGGAAAAGCAAAGGCACAAAGAGGTCTCACAAAGTCAGCCAACACATACTACCTAGCACTTGCTATGCACATACCGGGTGCCAGCAGCCCTGTGGTAAGTGCTTGACACATTACTGATTCACTTAAGCGTCACAATACTCCTAGGGGGTGCCACCTACTCCCACTTCCCATGTACAGATGAAGAAACTGAGGAGGCAAGAAGACAAAGTTAACTTGTCCAAGGTCACACACAGTAGTGGAGCCAGGATTCAAATCAAGAGTCCACAACAGAACCCTTAAGTTTAGCCACTATTCTATGCATGCTGTTTCCCCAGCGCTCCAGGGCACATGGGCATAGAGACTCCAATAGCCACCTTGCTAGATCCAGTACCACTCCACAACCTTGTATGCAGAAAGTGAAGAAGATGTACAGCACCTTCTGATCAACTACAGCTTTCAATACACGTTACATCTCAATATCAAGAAATCAAAAATCTTCACCACTGGACCAACACATAGAGACAAGAATGAAATTATTAGTGTCTCATTTTACCTGGATCCAAAATCAACTCCCATGGGAGCAGCAGTCAAGCAATCAAAAGATGTGTTGCCTGGGGGAAATTTGCTGTCAAGGACCTCTCCAACATGCTAAAGAGCAAGGATTTCAGTTTAAAGACTAAGGTGCACCTGATCCAAGGCATGGCCTTTACAATTCTTCTTCAACCTTCTTTGATTTTCATCCAACTTTCAAATACATAGGGAAGCAACTGAAAAATACCCTGGCTTAGATCAAGTGTCTGATGTTGGAGAAGAATACCAAATATCCCAGGGACTGCCTGGAAGCGCAACTAGTGTGCTCCTTAAAGGCAAGAATGGTCAAACTTCGTCTCATACACTTTGGGAATGATGTCAGTAAGGACCCGTCCTCGAAAAGGACATCACGCTGGGAAAGATGGAAGATTAGAAAAAGCGAGAAAAGAGTCTGAATAAGACAGACGTACAAAGTGACAGGGATAATGGGCTTGAACATGAAGATGATTGATTGCAAGGATGGTGAAGGCTAAGGTCAAGGTTTCGCTTAAGCTAGGGTAGGGTTTCTATGAACTGCCATACACTGGACTGCACCTAACCAGCCTGAAGCATGCGAGGTCTCAATCTGCCCTGAGGCAGCTCCCAGGGAAGGCGTAGTGATCTGCTTCCAACACTACGGAGCAGTTCTGGTCCGCATCAACCAGGTGGGCAAGCGCAGGAATCCGAGGTGACCATCAATTCCAGCTCCGCTTCATCTTAGCCAAGGAAACAGGTTGCAGAGTTGTTGTCCTTTCTGAGGGGAAGTCCCCAGACACCCAGCCAAGGAGGATGCCATAATGTGAGGCGATCCAAAGTGCTGCCATTTCCAAGTCGCGCAGCCAAGGGGACAGAAGACGCAGGGCGGCTGCGACCAAGTGGGAGCCCAACCTGTGCAGGGTCCCAGGCACACAGCGGGCGCTTTCACCATGCCCGCAAGGCGGAGAAGAACTGGCCCAGGCCCCCAGTGAGCGTGGCCTAGAAGGAATGTCTTTAACCTTTTTTTTTTGGTTTTCTAGGGCTAAAGTCTGCAGGCTTTGCCGGGCTCTGGAGTCACAGCTCCGGGCACGGCGAGCAGGGAGAGCGCGGCCCCGCCGGCGGCCCTGCGGGAGGCTGCCCACTCGATCCCGGGCTGGCCCCGCGCCGTGGCCCGCTCCTCCTCCGCCGAACCCTCCAGAGGCCGCCGCCAGTTCAACTGACAGGGCGGCAGATGGCACACACTCCTCGGCTGATGATATTTTGATTTCTTTCTCTCTTACAGATGGTACCAGGCCTTGATGTCTGGCTGGAACCCAACACGTGGGTCAACTTTTAAGGGGATAATCGTTTCTACAAGTGGAGGAAACACGGCACAACGAGTCCCGTTCGTCCGCGGCTCCGGCAGCGACGCATGCGCGTCATATGACCGCCAGCGGCGCCCCGC